AATCATTGTCTAGCGAAAATCGGTTTGCGAAGCACGGATCAAACATTGTCCAGCAAAATTCCCCGATAGGAATCACTGTTTTGCGAATCACTATAACAATCGCAAAAAGTCAATGTCTGGCAAAAAAAACTTTCATGCGGGGTAACTGTCTAGCGAGGCACCACTTGTACATATGTTTACCCACTCAAGAAATAATCCATGCATCTTATAGAGTGCAAGGTAAAGGTTAAGATAAAGTTCCCCCTTGACATTTTTAGTCCACTCTTGTCCGACTCTAGGGGGCGGTGCTCATTCCATTTTCAAGCTGTAGAGCCAGTGCTTATCTGAAGACAGTTTCCATTGCCACGTGACTAGAGAACGTCGTTTTACCTTCCCACCGAGGTGGTACCTATTTATCTGCTCGCATTTGCTTGCTTTCTCACTGCTAGGTTGGCGAGGAGCTGGGACAAAGCGACGGGAGCTCACATGGATTCAATCTTACGACTGCTGGTCTTCTGACCGTGCAGCACAGGCTTCTGCGGTTTAGCCCACAGCGCCACCATGTCCCTCCTATAGAGTGCAGGCTACACATTTGATTTACTTATGTAGGCCACACACTGCACTCCTCCTCCAGCAAGCTAGGTACTCATTTTACCAATCTTGGAAAGGTGGAAGGCTGAGTCGGTCTTCAGACAGCTACTTGAGCCTATCAGGATATAACTCAAGCCATGAGCAGAGTCTTGACTGCAATACTGCAATTTAACCACTGCACCCTAAGGCTCCTCTAACAGGCTCTTGACTGTTTTTACTGCAATAAACTGAAACATCTATTGCCTTGAAAATCTTTAATCAGGCAGCGGTGGCGGGAATTGACTCAGGAACAATTTTTTTTATTATTATATCGGAGCACTGACATTAAAATTAAATTGGGCCGGCTGTAGCACATGCCTACTCTGTAAGACCCCTATCCCCCCACAAACTCTTCAAAGTCTTCTGAGAGAGAGAAAGTGGCACCAGAGAAGAGAAATTCGGACTTTTGTTGGCAATGTGATGTCTCTGCTTTTTAAGATGCTGTCAAGGTTTGTCATTGCTTTCCTCCCAAGAAGATGGTGTCTTTTAATTTCGTGGCTGCTGAATCTCTAATTACATTCTTGTCTCATTTTGCTTTTACAGCTTTCTCTCACTTTCCCAGTGGAGGAAGGTGTGAAGCCCTGGTAGTGATCAGCAGCCCTAGGAAACCCAAACAGGGGTCTCAGACATTTTACTGTCTCTAAAAAGCAAATTGTGTTGCTCATAAACTACCCCATAGTGCAGTTTATAATTTAATTATGCAAGCTACACATTGCTTCCCCCCCCTCCCCAGAAAACTGGGTATTCAGTTTACTGACTTTGGAAGGATGGAAGGCTGAGTTAACCTCGAACCAGTTACCTGATCCCATTCGGATAGAACTCAGGTTGTAAGCAAAGTTTTGACTGCAGTTTAACCACTGGACCACAAAGTTCTCCCTGTTATTGTCTTTCACTTTGAAATATTCCTTCCTCCCAGCACCATAGCTCATAGCAAAAAGTGAGAACTCAATTCGATCTAGGCATTGGGATAGCACTGTGGTGTGCAATTCTCGAGAGAGTGCTAGACTGGTGGGTGGGTGGCAGATTGGTAAAGGAATCCTATAAGCAATTTTAAGTAATATAATATTATCAGCAATAATCTACCCAGCAGGCTAGTGGTAGGTGGATTACGATTCCGAGGCTTAGCTCTGTCTGCTTGAGAGATAATTAGAGGCTGTTATTTTTACTTTCGAAAAGTATGCTCTTAACAGAACAAAGGGTATGCCCAGCCCTCAATCCACTTGCCGCCTGAAAACATACTAAAGACTCTAAAACTTCTCAAGAGGATGATTGGATAATTCAACAGGCATTTTATCCTGTCTGCTTCTGACAGATAATTCAAAACGGAGGTATGAATTTCACTGCTTCTTGTCCTCAGAGAGAAACCAAGGGGAGCGAGGAGAGAAAATCTCTCTTCTCTCATTGCAATGAAATTTCTCAGAGTGAGATTTTTTTTTTCCCAAGGAAATCACACACAAAATCTCACAGGGTTTGTTGGTGGTTTTGCAGTCGGATTTTCTGGAAGGAAAATACCAAGTTGTGAAGGATTCTTTTCATTCCTGCACAGTATGGCACCTTTCAAGGGCAAAAAAATCACAGACACTGAAAGTTTCATGAGCAGAATGAGATGGGTGAGAAATGGATTTGAAAAGGAAAAGAAAATAAGACGGGTCCGGTTTCATAGAACACTTGGAAATCGTGATGATTCAGGATGTCTCGGTAGCGATTTTTGGCATGGCAGGATTCAAAAAAGAGCTGAGAACAAGAGATTTTGTGGCTCCTGGTCGCATCCCAAGTTCAAAACAGCAGAACGTCCACCAGCACTTAAGAAGGTCCCAGTAATAAAGAGAAGTTTGAATGTAAATTTTGAGCCAATTTGGAAGATTACATTTGAAGCGATGTTTGCTCTGGGGCAAAGCTTGGAAATTGTGCATTTTAAAAACATGGTCCCCCAGGATTCTTCAGACAGTGCTGGAGAGAAGATCTGAGGCATCCTGGATGAAAAAGTAAAATTCCCAACCTCTGTTTATGATCAATAACATCCTGATGAAGAACAGGTGAGATGTAAGTTAATAGACGCAACCTCAAGCAGTATCGTTGCTAAAGTACTAGCCTTCCTCATTTTTGGTTGATTCTGCCTTCAGTGACATGAAGAGGCACCTTTGTAAGGAAATTTTTAAGCTCTGTGCGATCTCTTGCTTCTAGGTAAAGGTAAAGGTTCCCCTTGACAATTTTTGTCCAGTCGTGTCCGACTCTAGGGGGCGGTGCTCATCCCCATTTCCAAGCCATAGAGCCAGCGTTTGTCCAAAGACAATCTTCCGTGGTCACATGGCCAGTGTGATTTAGACACGGAACGCTGTTTACCTTCCCACCGAGGTGGTACCTATTTATCTACTCGCATTCGCATGCTTTCGAACCGCTAGGTTGGCGGGAGCTGGGACAAGCGACAGGCGCTCACTCCGTCGCATGGATTCGATCTTACGACTGCTTGGTCTTCTGACTCTGCAGCACAGGCTTCTGCAGTTTAGCCCACAGTGCCACCACGTCCCACCTTGCTTCTAGAGCACAAACAAAATCACAAGTCTGAGGAAAGGTGCTCTTTCCTTCTCAAAGGTCTCTGCAGCTTGTTCCCATACAAGGGAGTGAAGGACTGCAGCATCAGTTGCCCCTTTCCTCCCACTGAGCCATCCACGTCCATCTTGCTCCAGTGGCAGACAACTCTCCAGAGCAGATGTCGGAGAACACGGGTCAAGGGAGGAGACAAACAGATGGAACAGCAGAAGTTCACCCAGACCCTGATGGATGGAGCCCTATGGAGCTGAAGTCATTATCAACTTTGACTTGCTGATTTCAACTGGCTTAATTTGTATCCCTCCAACTCACTGGGCAGAATCCTGCAGAGGAAATGTGGACCAGGATGCACTGCAGGCCTACAGTTCCTCATGATCTACAGCTTGAAGTTACGCAAGCTGGAGATCAGCCCAATCAATGCAACGGGGTCTTCTCTCCAGTTATGCTCAGTAGCTCTCCCCTCCCCTTGAAAAAACACCAGAGAAAAAGCAGCCGAACGTTCAACGGGCCACTGTCAAAGCAAGTAGAAATCAGTCTAGAATTCAAGGTCTACTCTGTGGTTGTGAAATGGATTGGGAAAATGTCTCCATTGCAACATGGTTCTTAGTCTGCCTTTTGCCTTACTAATTAATACAAAGGATCAGCAATCTCCTAGCTATTTGCCCACCATTGGTTTTCAGCCATTCTCAAACCAAGGGCAGGAAATATATAAAACCTTACAAAACATAGTAATACAGCAGCATATAGGCATACAGCAGGACAGGAAGCATTCCAACATCCAGAAGACCGACACATGAAAAAATACATCATTTCATCAAGCCAGGTACAAGAAATATGTCCACAAGGAATCTGTACAATCAACGGTACGAGTAAAAAGACTCTGTTCCCAGTGCTGGGATTCAGTTCTGCAGGCTTGTTGTTCTTGTTGTTTCAAAGTCCAGTGTCTATTTTCTCTTTATTTAAAAAAACACACTTTTTGCAGGCACAAGAAGCTAAAAACTGGGGTGGGGTGGGGGCTGTTTCCCCCAGGCAGTCTAAAAAGTCGTACATTACACGCCGAAGATCTGACCCTCCAGTTTTTCTCGAGGAAATTGTAAAGCAGCTAATGAAGAGGAGTGCTCTTCCTTTCTTCCCCCTACCTGATTTTTCCCTTTCCATCTCTCCCGGCTGCTTTCCTCCCTGGTTTTAGACCCCAGATTTTTACCCCATCTGAGGATGGTTGGAACTCTATGGAGGAAACAAGGCTGGAGAAAGGGTGGTCTGGAAGGGGACGATCTGACTTTTTAGGAGGGAATTCAAACCCGACAATGGCAGCTATGGAGGTTGGGTGGTTAGCAGTAAATAGATGGGGAATAAGTAATAAGGATGGGTGGCTTGGGACCCCATCCGAGAGCATATGGTAGAGGCTCAGCTGAGACACAGGTCAAGTGACACCAGCAACTTGCTGGCTGTTCAACCAGAATGCACAGCCTATTTTTGGCCACCGCCTGCAAAGTTCCAGCTCTCCTCACCACCACTTTTCTGCTCAAAACCCACCTCCTTCTGCACAAGAACTCTACAACATGCTGCAAGGGGGGGGTAAAATCCAGGTATTCAATCTAACAGCCTCCTCTAGATTCCTGAAGCCAATGGGAACTATGTAAACAATGTTATCACAACCAGCCCTGTTTATTCAGCAAGACTACTCTATTGAACCATCTGATTTTTTAAAAAAAAAATCCCAAATATGACATAAATAATCCAGCATGAGGTATTCCTGAACCTCTCTAGGTCCACACAATTGCAGTTATATATGTGGGACGCAAAGTGTATGTATATACACAAATATACTGTACGTTATAACTGGGCACATATATATACCCATCTCCGTGTACAGACGGACTGTTGCCATAGCCTGAAAAATGAAATTGTGGAACGTATTCTTGTATAACTCAAAGCCGTAGCATTTGAATTACATGGAAATCCGATTGCCTAGACTGGTCTATCACTCAATGCCTAATATGTACTAAACAACAGATGGAAGCCACCGCTGCCAGAAGAATCTGGGCCAGATGGAACTTGGTGTGATCTAGCCACCAAGTCAACAAATCTCTCGAGTTCTTACATGAATCAACACAACCCTCCTAGACTCCCCATTTCACTTCTGTTGGCCCTGTAAAAGGTGCACTTGAAATACATTTATTCCTTCCATGTTAAGACACTTAAATTGATTCAACTGACAAAACACTTTGTCTTCAGGTTTCTGTCAAGAAGCTTGACTGGCATTTACAAAGCAACAAGAAAGAAATATATATCTTCACACCCCACCCCTTAGATTCTCTGTACATTTAAGTGCAGCAGCTGTCATTGTTTATCATTAAGAGCGTAAAAGGTAGAAGGATGAGCCGACCCCATCACTTTTTATCCCTGCTCAAGTCATTGCTTTAACCATTTTGTTTTTGACCTGGAATCTATGCTCTGATTTTATTCCGGCCATGCTCGCTCACAGCTGCTGTTGCTGCATTGCGTAAAAACCTTCTGACGTGCATTAATTGAAGTGGTTCTCATTTGTCCTTGTGGTCTCTATGTGGCTGCTCCATCAGAGCATTTTTTAGGTCGCATTAGGGAAACCGATACGTCTGCATGTTGTTCCTTTCTTTCAGTGCACAAGACGCTACGTCCCCCAGCTTTCCACCAGGTCTTGATTCTGCTCCAGAGGACCCCTTCACTAAAGGGGGGCAGCCTTCAAAAAAAAGTGTGAAGACATCCTTCTTAGACCCCCAGCATTCAGAGACAAAAAGGTCTAGCATTGTGTGACCAACGTCTTCCTCATGAAAAGTCTGAGGAGATGTCTGATTCTCTCTTGGTGCCATTCTGGGAAAACTGGAATTTGAGGCTCACCAGAAATTCTCATGCTACGCTTTTTCCAATTGCACTGTCTGAGGATCCACTGTAATAAGCTGTAGAAAGCAATAAATGTTTTGTTTCTTTTTAATTTCCCAATGAGACCCACAACACCCAGTTTGGGCATCATTTCTCCTCCAAAGTCTTTGTATTTCTGTGGTATCTTCAGAAACCTAGACCACTGGTGGCCTTATGGGTTCGAAGACTCCAACCAAAACAGGTAAAGAAGTGTGTCACTCCAAAGTACAATAAGTTGCTTTCCTATCGTGTGGGAGGAATACTCTAGCATGGTTCTCCTCCCAATTCTATGAGTCCCCATTCCTGGGTCAAAAACAAAAAAAAATGCTTGTACCTCAAAGAGCCGTGATCTGCGTTAGCTCTGACGTGGGCGTCGTCGGGCTCTGCTGGCTCACGGGCACCATGGGAATGTCCACGCCTAGTCATGCCGGATTGTTAGTCCCGTCTGAGTTCTTGCAGGCGTAAGCCACATCCTTGGCAATGCTGCACATCCTGTTGGACATTTGCAGCTCTTTGCGAAAGGCGGAAGGGAAACAGAACTTCTTGAAACACGCTTTGAAGTTCTCATCTAAGAAAGCATAGAGGACCGGGTTAAGGCAGCTGTTGGCGTAGCCCAGCGCCGTGCAGAAGTATAAGATGGCCAACTTGACCTCGTTATCAGCCTTGGCCCCGAGACACCGGACCAGGACGAAGATATGAACGGGGGTCCAGCAGATGATGAAGACGGCGACCACGACGAGGACGAGCCGAGCGATACGCCGGAGGTTTCTGTCTTTCTCCTTGGACCCAGAGAGGACGCGGACGTTCTTGAGACGACGGATCATCAGACTATAGCAAATGGTTATGACCATGACGGGGATCATAAAAGAGAAAAGGAATATGCAGATGCCGAAGATGGGATCCCAGTATTCAATGGGTTCCGGGAGCCTGATGAGGCAATCAATTTCTGCAAAGGGAAGAAGCAAAGAAAAGGTTCATCCAAGGCATTGAGTATGCTGTGCAGATCCAAACGCTGATGGGTTTCATGCAGTTTTTATATTGTTAATACCTCTTCCCTTTTCCCAAGTGAGCTCAGAATGACCCACAGCAGAGCACAAATGCACAACCTATACATCATTGAAAGCATCCGCTGTAAAGGACAACTAAAAATATTTGCACTAAATCTAAACCAGCATTTAAAACAAAACTCAGGTGGGCATCGCCAAATGGATGGAACAGAAACTGGCAAGTCCATCTCTCTTTGCTTTGTCAGCTAAGGGTATAAGGAATACTTGCAACTTGTCATGACCTTGACAAAAAAGGAGGTTGTTTCAGCTCATCAAGAAACCACACTGGGGGGAAGAAGAGAAAAAAAAACAGATCAGCCAGTAGGTGACCTTCCACGCTGGTCCAAAGGTGGAAAGACAAGCAATTGTATATATGCATTCTCAAAGGCTTTCACAGTCTGGATCAGAAGGTTGTTGTAGGTTTTTTGGGCTGCTTCTTCGTGTTCTGGAGGTTTTTCTAGCGTTTCACCAGTCTCTGTGGCCGGCATTTTCAGAGGACTGGAGTTAGAACTCTGTGTTCAGAGCACAGCAAAATGTTAGGAACAAAAGCCTCCAGAACACGGCCAAACAGCCTGAAAAACCTACAGTGACTAATTTTATATATGATGACGAGTAGCAACATGGGGGAAAAGATACCCTGCTAATTTTTTGAGCAGAAATCTTGCACTTCATGTTCTAAAAACCTTTAATTTTTGGACAAAATGTAGGATTTTCTGTTCAAAATGCAGGAGTTTCTGTGCAAAACACACAGAATTTTCAAACATTGCATGAAAACTCTCCCAGTTTCACCCAGCAGACAGAAAATGTCTATACTCTTCTGTCCTCATTCCCAAGAATGAAATGAACAAGGACATATACCTCTATGGCCAATACTCGGTAGAATATCACAGATTATTTTAGAGGGGGATATTATCCAAGTTCATCTGGAATATAGGAGATCAAGTTAGATCATTGGTGCTTCTAGCTTCATTTTGTGTTGCCTACAGCTGGCATTATCCCCAGCTGACATTACCAATGGGGAAGGATGATGGGGTTCCTAAGCAGCAGGACCTGGAGAACCTGGCTGAAGGAAGTTGATCAGTATTGATTGGCTGAAGATCTGTAAGGGCCCAAATGGGGAGGGGTCTTTCTTGATTGCCCCCAAGCACTCTAAGGGCAAAGCATGTTCTCTATCATTGAGTTATGATCTTCCCTAATGGACTCCCTGTGAGTCACTCTCCCTGGAATGCTCACTGTAACAGAGTGGTCCCCAACCTTGGGCCGCCAAATGTTCTGGGACTTCAACTCCCAGAAATCCTGGCCAGCAGAGGTGGTGGTGAAGGCTTCTGGGGGTTGTAGTCCAAGAACATCTGGAGGCCCAAGGTTGGGGACCACTGCTGTAACACACACTGGGTAGGCAGAGAGGTGTAGTGACGAGAGCAGCAGTTCCCAACCTTGGGTCCCCAGATGTTCTTGGACTAAAACTCCCAGAAGCCTCCACCACCAAATCTTGTTGGCCAGGATTTCTGGGAGTTGTAGTCCAAGAACATCTGGGGACCCAAAGTTGGGAACTACAGGGCTAGAGTGTGGGAGTAGAATTGGAAGATCTAGCTTGGCATCCTCTCAAGCTAATTCTTTGGCCACTCTCTATTTCTCGGCCATTGTCAGAGAAAGTTTCTTCTTTCTGGATCGTGGAAGTTGTAGTCCAAAAAAAGAACATTTTTCCATGATGACTCTTAGGCTTACCAGTCTTGAGAAGGTAGGATCAGGGCAAGGAAAGACAACCATATAACAGGCTGAACCCAATTGTTTGTGCCAACTAGACAGACCTGTTGGATGAACGAGACTTGTTAAGTCAAAACTAAGGATGTACAAGGTGAAACTGCTTGTTCCAGTTTTGATTCTTTCAGGGTCCCTCCACTGTTTTCAGTGTTTTTTGTGCATCGAGACTTTCATTTTATGTGAAAGGGGGTGCTTCTGCTGGGTCATTTCACATGTTGTTTCCCCTCATTCATTCTTTCTAGTGCTAGTAATCCAAAAACGACTTCAAAAACGAAGGGGCAAGGTGACAGAGAATCAATCTAGAAAAAGACAACAGTATAGCAAAAGCCACACCAAACAAAACAGTCCCCGAAACACCCACCAAAATGTACAACTTTAACAGAATAAAAATATACAATAAATTTGCCAAATAACGTTTTTTGAAAAATCCATTGAACAGGGAAAGCACCTATCCACAAAGAGAGAGGGAAAATTAGCACACACACACACACACACACACACACACACACACACAGAGAGAGAGAGAGAGAGACTCTTTTCTTAATTACCAAATAAAGCAAATAAAGGCAAAAAATAAAATAAAAGCCTCCCACAACCAAAACAATTAAAACATGGGGAGATTTTTGCCCTTCCAACACCATCACACTTTACCTCTTCTTTCTTGTCTCTTCTTAATCCAGTGCAAAAGCAGGAAGGTAGAAAAATAATCTCCCAAGAAATGGGGGGAAATCAGCCCAAAAGTCAAGGGGAAAAGAAAAGGATCCAGAGACACATGCAGGCAGGCAGAAAAGCAACACAAGATGAAGGGAAGCAGGAAAAAGCTCACCCCAGAAAGGAACCAATGGAGTGAAACATAGAAAGTGCTCTCACTGGGTTCCAACCAATCCAGACCCTTTGATAGTTTCAAAACTCCCACGTTTTCCCACCTGGACATTCTGATTGGCCGCTGACAGCACCTCTTGTGATGCTATTTGACAGGAAATTAACTAGGCCATGTTACATACAACGGGTGAAAGAAAGGTGAAACGAGAGCAGGAAAAATGAAAGTGATAACAACATTTCCATCTTTCATCAAGACGACTCATTCATTTTTAAGAGTCTCTTTCTCAGAAACTGATGAACGGCCGCAAAGGGGGTGGAGAGAGCTTCTCTGGGGCTTTCTTTCATTTACTACAAAGTTAAAGTCCCAGCTCTAATCAACACAGACAGAAGTCCAGTTGATTCAATGGATTACCTCTAACGGGAGCTGTGCCCGTTTACAGGAGGCCCTGTTGTACTCAGTGGGTCTTGCTCCTGAGCAAACAAACAGAGGCTTGCAGTGCGAGGAATTAATTTTAGCTCATGACTTACACGAGGCCTTATCTACAGCTGTACACGGTGCCTTGGCTTTTACAAGCACGCTGGAGAGTTTTTCTTTGCTCCTTAATTCCCCGGGTTGTTTTGGGAGTTTCACTTATCTACCCAGAGTGGCATTAAAGTCTCAGCAAACCCATGTAAGCTCAAGATTAGCGCTATTTCACACTTGGCAAGCAGTCAGGAAATAAAACATGGGCCTCTTGAGCCATAAAAGGCAAGCACCAATGAGCATTCAAATTTGTCTCTCTGTCTGTCTGTTTGTTTCCTCACTGTTTATCATGCCTGAATTGGTGAATGCTGCTGTCCACGCAGATACCATGCTTATGTGCTAGTGTGCTTTTTGAATAGGCTTAGAGAGTGTTACAATGTTCAAACTCTGCAGATTTATGGCTCATCTTACTCTGCAGAGCGGCCCATAGTGACAGATTGCTGCCGCACAAGGAGGAGAATTCCCAAATTCCAACCCTGAGCATCTGGAACCAATTATCATGGTCCCCTAGCAAAACAGCCCAATGATCCATGGCAAGGCCCACAGAAATGTGCCCATGGAGATAAAACGTGTTAATGGGAATACTTGTAACCACATTCCTTTCCAAAGTTTTGAGGGGGGAATCACATTTACTATGAGTCCCAGTATCCTCCAATCAGGGGATATTGGGAGTTCTAACACAAAGCATTTCCCCTACAAGCTCTATTCAGCCTCTCCCTTCAAAGATTGAGAAAGGACACCAGTTAATGTTCAACTGGCTGAAAACTCTTCATTTCAAAGCCACGGTGGAAGAAGATTGCCCCAAACTGACTCCCTCACAACTTACCTGTCTTTGGTGATGGTAAAACTTTTCCAGGAGCAGTTGACTATTGTTGGCCTTTACTGATATCTTGAGAAAGATGTGGAGATTTGCTGATCCCTGAGGGACGTTCATTTACTGCATGGATTGGAAAATGCATCCAACCCATTCAAAATTGTTAAAATCTTACCTGCACAGTTTCGCAGTCTGTGAAGGAACTGTAGAATTGATGGGGCGTCTTGGGATATCTTGACAGATGGTTATAGTTTTAAAATGCATATCACCTCGGCCACAGCCACCCACCCAACCTGTGGGCATCCTTCAGTCTCAAGAGACGATGGTAACGTGCTCTGAATAGAGGACTTGGAACAGCGTCTAGTGTGGCTGAGAAGGCCGATTTGAGCACGACCGTCCCTTCCACACTGAGGACAAGTACAATATGTCCCCTGTCCAGCTCCCTGATTTTGCTGGTTTCAGGACTGCCTCTTGGCCTTGGCAGTCATGCCTTCTGCATGACTGCGGTTTCAGGACTGCCTCTTGGCCTTGGCCTTCGAACCAACCACTTCAGGGATATTTTATAAACAATCATTTCTGCATGACTGTACTAAAAACAAAATGCATGAGAACTGAAAAAAGTAATTGGGGAGGGGCAGAAAAAGGGAGAGAAAAAGGGGGAGGGAGGGTTTCGTATAGCTCAGTGGTTTAGGTATCTGACTGCAGAGCCAGAGGTTGGGAGTTTGATTCCCCGCTGTGCCTCCTTAAGGCTGGGGGTTTGATTCCCCACTGTGCCTTCTTAAGGTTGGACTCACAGATCCGTAGGGTCTCTTCAAGCTCTGCAGTTCTAAGATAATTAGGTAGGCAAGATATTGAGAACCTGGAATATATCCAGAAGTGGGCAACCAAGACACTAGTGGGTCTGGAAACCAAGCCTATGAGGAACGGATGAGGAACCATTTGAGAAGGGAAGACTGAAAGGTGATACAACCATCTTCAAATATTTGAGAGGGTGTTGTGTGGGGCTAGCTTGTTTTTTGTAGGTGCAGAGGTTAGGACCCAACAGAACTTAAAAAGACAGGAGAGACTGTGACCAAACATCAGGAGGAATGTCTTATTAGCAAGAGCTGTTTGACAGTGGAACTGACTACCTCAGTGAAGTCTCCTTCACTGGAGGCTTCTCAACAGAGGTTGGATGGCCATTTTGCAGGGGTGTTTTAACTGTGGATTTTGTGCCTCAGCATGGAGCTGGATTCAGCGAACCTTGGAGTTTCTTCTAGTTCTACATTTCTATGATTCTACGTTGATTTGCTGATTTTATTATATGACTCACCATCATTTTCATTCTCAGTCGATCCCATCACCATCACAGGGATACCGAAGACCGAGGCCAAGGCCCAGATGCAAACATTGACGAGTTTAGCTTTATGGGGAGTACGGATGTCCAACGCCTTGATGGGGTGGCAGATGGCAATATACCGGTCAACGCTCATCATGGTCAAGGTAAAAGTACTGGTGAACATGTTGTAGTAGTCAATAGAGATGGCGATCTTGCAGAGGGCATTTCCAAAGGGCCAGGAACCCAGGAAGGTATCTGTGCCTTGGAAAGGTAAGGTCATCAGGCACAAGGTATCGGCCAGAGCCAAATTGAAGATGTAAATGTTGGTTGCTGTCTTCATCTTTGTGAACCTGGACAGAGACAGAAAGACACAAGAAAGTGGAGCCAAAACATAAAAGTTGCACGGATTTTATCCTTGATAGAACAGGGTATTCTTGGATTGTATCAGGTATTTATCTTTTCTGATTTTAATTGTTTATAATTTTTAGTTTTCAACACATTTTTGTGCACACGGCTGCTTTAAACTCCCACGAGGAAGGCTGGGATAGAAATAAAGTAGCAATTGTAACAACAGAAATAACAAACCATTTTAAAAACAGACCGATTTTTGCAAGTTGGTGAATTCTAAGAATTGTAGTCAAAAGGACAAATCTGCACACCTCTAGTTCTGATTATTTTTTTTAAAAAAACTGCTTGACAAAGGTTTTAAATCCACTAAGATGAGATTGAAAAGCAGAATTCTAAAATGATCAAAACTAGAAGTACAGTATGAGAGTTTGTCCTTTCAACTACATTTTGTGTGATTTACTTTTTGCTTGCAAAAATAAATACAAATAAATGCCTAAATCTGACATAATTCACATTCAGGGGTGTTACAAAACAAATGCTCGAAAATCTTTCCCTGCCGTGATGTGCCATCAAATCAGAACTATATTCTAGCAGCCAAATAGGGCTTTCAAGGTAAGTGTGATATTAAAGAGTGGATTTACCAGTTCCATTCCCCCAGTGAGGGTATGGCTACAGCAGCAGAACAGCTTGCTATATGGATAACTTTTAGTGCTTTTTGGTTCATGTGTTTTGACTTAGAATGATCCAACCTGCTGCTTTTCAAAGCTGTCCTGCTTCTGTTTGGCAGAACACTAGTTGTACAGTTCTGTGTTGTTGTTGTTGTGTGGGGTTTTTTTGGCATGATTAAGGGAGTGCCTAATTAGCCCATTTGTAGCCTGTATGGATAGTTAATCCACATCTAAATAGAGCTATGGATGCAGCATTATTCTAGATAAATGAGATATAATACTATGTTTCACCAAAAATAAGACAGGGTCTTATATTAACTTTTGCTTCAAAAAACTCATTAAGGCTTGTTTTCAGAGGATGTTTTATTTATTTATTTTTTCATGTACAACAATCTACATTTACTCAGATACAGTCATGTCATCTTCTGGTTGCTGCACAATGGTAGAGGGTGGGGCTTCATTTAACTGGGGCTTATTTTTGGGGTATGGCTTATATTATGAGCGTTGTGAAAAAACATACTATGGCTTATTTTCAGGGAAACAGGATATGATGTGTACCATGCTTGGTAGAGTTTTTGCTGTTGCGCTATGTCACTTTGCTTAAACACATACAAAAAAGGGAAAGTTACTGTGGCCCACTCAATGGTAGTTGTGGGAAAAGGTGGGGAAGTGGGAGAGAAGGGAAGTATCATTAATTGAAAGGGGGCAAATTGGGGTGATCTGTCTGGGCCTTTCCCATGGTAGAAAAAAGTTGATCAGTGTGAACAGAATGATCATTCAAGTGAGAGATAAAATAGATCACACTAAAGATAGGAACCTTTTCAGCACAAACCAGAACTCTCTATCTTCCCCCTTCTGGACATGCTGTGAGTTTCCATGGGTGAACAAGGATTTGAACCCAGGCCTCATGAGTCCTAATCTGTCACTCTGTCCACTACACCACACTCGATTTCCTCCTAATACTTTGGTGCAATAAAAAGTACCAGAGCACTTGGGTTCTTTTTAAGGAGATGGGTGAGAGGAAAAAAAAAATTTGCTGATCTTCTACCAAGAAACAAAATACCATATAAAAACAAAAAGATAACAAACAGAAGTTGTGCCAAAACCATCATCTTGCTTCCAAAACCTTCCAACTAGATTGAGCGAGTGAGTGATGCATTAACATGAGTATACAGTACGTGGATACTGAAAACCGTAGATAACAGTGATTTATTTTCACATGCCTTACCAGATTTGTATTCCTGCATTGAGCAGTGGGTTGGACTCAATGGTTCCCATAGGCCCCTTCCAACTCAATTATTCTGCGACTCTATGTTCCTTGGAAAAATAGAAATCACTAGTACTTTTGTTGCATTACCTCAATTAATGATCCATAATTAGGAACATCAAATTACGAGGAACCTTTGCTCTGTTTCTTTTTCCACATTGTTAAGGCCATACTTCTGTTCTCCTGGCTGATGTATTTTAAAGGGACACGGACTAGCTAGTCAAACTATATCCCTGGTGAAACCCATAACAACTGGCGCACAAATTTTGAAGCATTCAAATAATTAGTTTCCGATCCTTCAGCCCCTTTCCCTCAGTATTGAACATTGTCACCACCATTACCCACTTTTCTTTAGCCCACTGTAAGCTAACTGAATCCCTCGGCTCCAAAATTGGTCGGCTGGCAAGTGGGCAGCTCCCTATTCTCTGAGATCCAGAGTCAAAACCTAAGAGCAGAGGGGCCTGTGTAACATCACGGGGGGGGGGGCAGTCAAGGACTGGGAAGGGGGGCAGAGCTGCTTCTGGACCAGCTGATCTCAAGCGGTGGGGTCCTAGTCAAACCAGTTAACCAGGTCCAATGGTAACCCAGTGGAAAAATGGTTTAAGAAACACACCACTGTTTCTGGTCTAAATGTGTCTAAGCAACTGGTTGCTTTCCTTCCTGCTACAGCTTGTACACCACGTTGCCTTAAGCGACGCAACACATGGCATATGAAGAATTCCACCAAGCTGGGGGCTTGTAGAAAGACGGACTACTAGCCGTCAGATAATTTCTCCCTCAAGCCTGCACCGTTGCTGCTGGAGCTTGTCGACCATTAAGGCTCATGAGTTGTGATGTTAGTGCTCCAACCAGTGTCTTACTCCAGCTGGGACAATGGCCCCATGTGCATACTCCTACCGGCTTCCTCCTCCATCACCTCCCTTTGGCCTTAAGCATTCTGATGTGTCATTGTGCGGCTCCAGTGCACAAACAGATACCTTTGTGCTCAGCCAGCAGCCTATGGGATCAGCTAGGAGCAGATGGAGATGGATCTTCAAGCTTGAAGGCAAGGGTGTGCACATGGCAGCCTTGGGATCACATGCACCCCCCAGAGCTGTTCCTGTGGTTCCGATTGCTTCCCTGTCCTCCTTTTCTTCCAGGGGAGAGAGAAAAATGAGCTACAGCTCCAGGAAGCTTCCAGGATGGGTGATTCACCTTTTAATTAGGTCACAGCCTCTCCTGCAGTATTTGACAACCCCAAATACCTATATTCAAAACAGGACATGTATTTCTAACCGTCAGCTTTGGGTTTTTTTTCCTATTTCTTGGCATTTTTGGCACATTGCTCAGCCACAGAATCTTTCAAGCTGTACATCCCACTTTGAAGGCATCTCACAGAGAAAAATCAAACTTTCCCCTCTTCCAGCCAGGGTCTCCATGGGACCCATCTCTCACTCTGGAGATCCCAGGAAGCATTAAATTGCCTAAGACTGAAACCAGTGCCCTGAGATCTGTCAAGATTTCCAGTGGAGACGTGCCTTTGAAATGTCAATGAAGTGTTGAGAGAGTTTGGGTGTGTATTTATTTATAATTTTTATTTATTTATTCCCACTATGATTCATTTATTCACACTATTTATTAACGCTGAGATTGTTGTGACCCACCTTGCTCTCAACAAAAGTTCATCTCAAATAGAAGTTTGTTTGGGATTGTAACCAGGGGTTGGAGAAGTTATTTATCTCACAGAGCCCCCAAATGCCATACTCGCTCTGGTTATAAACTCTGTCGTTCTATGCCTGAACTAAGGTTTCCCCGTCATTTTAAGGTGACTTAAGTCTGTATGTTCTTGGAAAAAGTCAGAGAATTTTGAAGTATTAAATACAGCGGTGCCTCAACCTACGACCATAATCCATTCCAAAAGATGGACGTAACTTGAAATGGCCGTAAGTCGATGCACCATTTCCCATAGGAATGCATTGATATGCAATTAATCTGTTCCGGCCAAAGGAAAAAAAATCACCAAAAAAATCACTGCAAGACTCATTGGAAACGCGATTAATCCCTTCCAGTTGAAGGGGGGGGAGAAAAGCAATCAAGTGTGCAAGACCCATTGGAATGCACCGAAAACAAACAGACCAGGTTGGAAATGCACAGAAATCAAAGGGAGCAGATCAGAAATGCATAGAGAACAAAGGAAAATGCAAGGGAAGCATGCAAGACACATTGAAAATGCACAGAAAACAAATGGAGCAGGTTGGAAATGCAAAGAGAACAAAGGGACCAGGTTGGAAATGCACAGAGAACAAAGGAAAAAGCAAGTGAAGCATGCAAGGCCCATCGGAAATGGGGAAAAAACCTTAAAAGCAACCAAACCCCCAAGTCCCATCGGAAATGGGGGGGAAAACCAAAAAACAAACAAACCCCCAAGACCCATCACAGCACAGAAACTTAACACCCCAGCCCAAAACTATGCTGCATAAACACCCAGAACAGTTTTTAAAAAGCATAAAGCAGCAACTTACCTTAGCAGGCAGCCTCCTCGGAGCGCACACTCTCTAGCTGCTTGGACGAAAGAGCTACAAAGAAGCATCCTTGTTGCCTTCTACAGTTAGCTATTTGAATTTCCCACCCTTTTCTCCTGCCTTTTTGTGTTCGTAAGTTGAAGCTCTGGCCACGAAACAAAATTTTGCGGCCGGAGCTGGTCGTAAGTCAAAATAGTCATAAGTAACAGTGTTCGTAAGTCGAGGCACCACTGTAAATCATAGTTTTACGTGTCAAGATCTCCCAAAAGAAATATTATCTGGGCATTTGCATTAGATGAAATCATAGAATCATAAAATAGCTGAGTTGGAAGGGGGCTATAAAGCCACCAGTCCAGCCCCGCACACACACACACACACACACACACACTTGACGCAGGAATCCAAATCAAATAAGATTTGACAGATAGTTGTCCTTTTTTTTATTAAGTGCCTCCAGTATTGGAGGACTCACCGCCCCCTTGATGTCATTGGTTCCATTGTTGTACTGCTTTAACAGTTAAAATGTTTTTTTTCCAGATAGTCTGCCTAAGTGTGGCTTCCTGTAG